TACAGTACAGTGATAAGTAACGGTCTGGAGCTTGGGGAAAGTGAAGCATATCTGTAACATCTTACAGTGTAAGAAGGTGTCTATGCTAGCAGATAAGTAAAATGAGAAATAGTTGTACCTTAAAACTGCACCCTTTTAAGATATTCTTATCTTTCCTTTGGGCTTCAAGGCACATCTCCCTTCACATTAGGTTCATAGTCTTGAACCTATCCCAAGAACTGGACCCTGAAACACTTTCTTTCGAAAGCTGAACAGGAGTTTGTCTTTGGGGAAAGCAAGAGCTGTTTCCAGTCTCCCTCTTTTACTCCACAGTGCACCCCTCCATCCTTCCCTCACATAAACTGAAGTATTAATCAGAACAGGCTGCAATTATGTTTCTTTGCCACTGGATGGTAGGTGTTGTGAATGCTCTGGCATTGTATCTCAATAGATCTTTAACTATTCCTGGCAAAGTGGAACAGCTACAATAGAAAAAAGTGAAATCAGTGAGTGGGAATTGAAGATCTAGGCTTAAGTTTTACTTATGGAGCTATTCAGTTATGAAAAATTGAAATGCTTCTAGGGTGTCAAAATAGCCTCAAGCATAGGAACCCCCATCTTAAAAGGCACACAAAAATTCAGGACTCATTTGGTTCCACTTCCTAAGTATTTGTGATGCAGTATTACATGACACAGCAGCTAAATTTAATGTAAAAATGTCAACGATAAAATTAGCATATAAGGTACACATTTAAATGAGCTGAAATATGGCATTTTGCAGGATTGTGTGACAGAAGCAATTATATTTTAGGTTATCTACCTTTTTTGGTTGCATTTTCATACATTTGATACAGTCATTACAGATGAAAAATAAAGAAAAATGTAAATAGAATAAAAAACATTTTGAAATAACTGTTTTGAAAGAAAAGTGTAAAGTTTGTAGAGAATTGGAAAACTTTAAGGGAAAAAATGTAAGAAAGACATGGTATATGTTTACCTGAATGCTGATGAATCAACTGAAAAAAATGCTTTGAAGAATGGTTTAAATACTTGTAAAAGAAGAATAAAAGGAAATAATCTGGTTCAAAAGGAACAAGTTCAGTGACAGTAGTACTATCAAAAAAATAAGATCAAAAAATTATCAGTTTGCTGGAGAAAGAAGAAACGTCACGCTGCATGTAACAAACACTAATTATCATGTTCTTAGGCAAATCAAGAGAAAAGAAGGAAGGTAAAAACACATTATCTTGACAATTTGGAACTGTGTTAATTATATGTTTAAAGAAAAGTGGGCAGAGAAATGATAAGAGAAAAATAATTGAAAAGCATACTGTTACAAAAAGAATAGTTCTTGAAGTAAAGAATGGGAAAAGTTCCACCATATATGTCAGTATACGTATATATATGTGTATATATATGTCCCAGTTCTTATTTAACTTCAGAATGAACATCCAATGCTTACTGTGTAGAAATAATAATAATGACATATATATTATGAGGTAGGTGGTACTCTGATATGGAAAAAAGTTGACTGCTTGATTATGATGAATATTGTATGAAAGACAGGAAGTTATACAATGAAGGCAACAGGTGATTGTTATTGCCTTGTAAAGCATGCCAGAGGCAGCAACCTGTAGGCCTATAACTGTCTAATTGTTGCAAGGTAATTTCAAATGATGATGCAGTCATATAGTGTTTGTCATTAAATGAAATGGAAGTAATTTTTCCATGGTAATGTCAGATCATGAACCATAAACTACATAGAAGGAATTTTCCCTATGAAAACATGCCTCTGAGTCCATCAGAAACCACAAGTGGCCAAACACTGGATCAGCTGAGACACTGAATTATTTGAATGATCTATGGGGTGAGAGCGGAAGATCCAATGCTATTGAAATCTCAAAGCAGACCCCTGAAATCCTCTAGAAGAAAAAAACAAAAATATACATGGAAAGTAGCCAATTGTAAGTCTATTACCTTTTACAAGATATACTAACTATGATAGACCAGCTGCCCAGGCAGTCTGACCAACTGGGGCAGAGGATTTTGTCACTAAGCTCTTTGATAGCTTTTGTATGGAGCAGAGGCCTTACTTGAAGGATTTTCTTCTTCCCCAGGATTTTCCCTAAGTCATTAACTTGAATTAAGAATTATACTATTCATAAGACTAACAAAGGGGATTCTTCTCAAATGATTGTTGTAATGAGTTCAAACTCTGTGTTAGGGTCACTATTTCGGCTTTTCAGTCTGAGAAAGTGACCGTACATTATCTGCTTCCACTTATCACTGTTCTGCTAGCCTATTCAGGGTAGGTGTACATTTTTTCTCTTTTCATTCTTTCCCTTCAGTTTCCAATTTTTTGTGGGAGGGATCTGCTGCTTAAGTATGCTTATTCTAATAGGTTTAGTTTCATTTATATCTTGTGGTTATTAAATTTCCATTAATAGAGTAACTTTTATTATCATTTGTTCTTGAAATCACTTTTACTAAACTTAAGCAAAATTTGAATTGGAGAAAGCATCAGCCCCTTTCTCCACATGATTGTCCGATACTTATTTCCTAATATTTACTGAACGTGAATGGCAGAAAGCTTGTCTTCTAGTACAAACATTATTTGTTCATAATTCTTCAGAGCTGTGCTTTCCCCTGTGTCTGTGAAAATTCTGAACTGAGAAATTTTCACTTAAGACTCCTAGATGGTTCAGCCATATACTTTACTATTATATGCCTCCATCTACAACTTTTTAGATGCTTTCCTTTCAGTGTCCTGGGTGGAAAAAAAAAATCTGAAAAGACCTGTGCTATTATGAAATTGAACCCGCACATATTAGCTGATCCCTTTTCTTTTTACCATGCAACGTAGTAATTGAGTAAACTGGAGTGGTGCAAATTTTACAGGGTACATCATCTGATCATATAAAAAATCCCAATAAAATAAGGCTGGTTTACTTTTCTTAAAATAAGTAATTTTTGTAATTTTTTTGTTCTCGTTCTCTTTTCTGAAACAAACATATGCAATTAATATATTTAGTGTTTACCCTGTCCAGTTTGACTTTTTTTATTTAACTCTGTTGTTTCACAAAGATGACCGTCTCAGTTTTACCTTTAAAAGGTATGTCTAAGATTTTTAGTTTTCTTTGACAGTTGTCGGGCAGAAGGGAAGATAACTGTCAAAGTCTGGTAACATTTTACTGTACCTTAGCTTAATCTCCAAGGTGCCTTGAGCAAAGCTGTAACTCTCCTTCTTTATTCTCACATGAAAGAATCTGCATCATTTTCCCCATTTTCCAGGTGGCATACTTGAGGAAAAAAGTTAAGGTAGTTATACTAAGGCGATCTACAGAGTCACTGTCAGCCATTATTAAAATTTGGAGTTCCTGACCTCTAGTCCTGAACTTAGACAAATATAACAAAAGATTTTCAAAATATGATAAAGCATTTTTCAAAATATGGTATAGCAATCTTATTTGTATGGGACCTAATCAAAGTGCTTTGACGTCCATACAGGTCTCTCTAGTGCATAGTACTGTTCTTCAGGTTTTGTTTTCAGGCAGATAAATGGTATTCATTTCCCAAAACAAAAATCTGAAAACCTCAGAATTAGGCCAGGCCTCTCTCCTGTGTCTCTTGAGACCTGCATTATCAAATTTATACCCTCACTAAAAAAACAAGGCAGGAGAAATAGAATTCAAAGGTGAGAGTTCCTATGTGTTTTTAATATCTGCATGATGAAAAAGGAAAAGCACATCATTATTTAACTGGATTCTAGAAAAAAAGAGTTTAAAGCCATTCAGCTAATTGGTCAGCATTTTTTTTTTTATTTGCTTTTATAAACACAGGAGCAAGAAGCTTGTATTCATACCTTTTTTGTATAACTGTAGTGGATGCTTTTCTATACAGCTTTATTCATTTCTAGCTGTTAATAGTATCAGTTTTGGGAGGCCTCCCTTTTTGGTGTGGGTTGTTTGAGTTTTTTCAGCGATGTAGGCAATCTCTGTGTAGGAACATTTACCTACAACATTAATTTGGAAGTAAACTTTTAATTTTATTTGACCTTAGAAAATTAAGATGTCATTGTATACAAAGAGAAGAATTTAAAATATGGTAACTAAAGGTTTCGGCAGCAAAATTCAAGGTGACATCAGGACAAAACTGTTGAAGTCTGAATAATTCATCATTAAAATCATCACAAGGTTTGACATGTATGAAAAAGCAGATTACTCTGAAAAATAAATGGATGTTCTTAGGATAGAGAGGAATGCTTGACTGATAAATGAGACATATTGCCTGTACAATTAAATAACTATTAATTAAGGGCAAGGCTTATTTAAGGGGAACTGCTGAAATAGGATGAAGAAAGCTTATCAAAGAGGGTTAATTCAACAAAGATCCCATAAATGTGTTGTTGTGATCCAATTAAATATACAGTGGGGCCAACAGCCCCTGTGTTGATAATTCCACCAGTAACAAAAGCAAGGATGACTAGTCATGGAAAGTTGATCTTGAGATCTATGAAAGGGCTGATCAATGTAAACACCAGATGGAGCATAGAAAGTAGAGAGAGAGGTAATATCCTGGGCTCTTCGCTTAGAGGCAGTCTCCTCCTGTCATGGGAATAGTGAGGACCCCAAAT